CTGTTCAAAGTATTCCTCTTTAAATACTTCTAAATGAACATACATTTGTTGGGCTACAGCACTGGTTCACAATGATGTTAGATTCAATGCACCCTTTGGAAAATGCCAGCTCTTAGATTTCACTCATTTTTGACTATCTAAAAATAATAGAGCAATTCTTCTCTTGCAAAGAATTCAGAAAGACCACAACAGGTCAGAATGTTTTTGACACTTTTGATTCACATTTGAAATTTCTGCATTTATTTCATGAATCATGTGTCAATGTTTCCACATCTAGGAGCGCTAATATTGAGTGACACCCTTCTAAAGCTCTCATGTCACCCCAGTTGAGAATCACTGGGCTACAGAGAGGTGGAGGGGAAAATAGTGGTGAAAGATTGATTTGGCAATTGGTGATTATGCCACTTTCTTGGAATGTGGGAGTACCAGGTTGTCGTCCCTGCTCCCATGAACATTGAACTGTTTGTACTATTCAGCTCTCTTGAGCATATGTTTGGAAAAGAAAAGATTGAGGATGATTTGATAGAATTCCCCAAATGCATGAAGCATGATAATAAAGAGGATAGTGATGGACTATTCTCTGTCCACAGGGGACAGGACAACAGCAATGAACCTACACTGCAACAAGGTCGATTTAGATTGGATATTAGGAAGAACTTTCAATGGATATTTAAGCACTGGAACGAGGTATGTATGCACTGATGACTCTTTCATGCTATCTGCTGGTCAGACAAAAGGTCATGAGATGCTCATTGATGCCACCTGGATATTCCAGTATCTGAGTAACAATCTTGGTCTTCATAGCAAAAACAGCACCATGAATGTATCTGTCTTTTTCAGATATTCCTTTCCAAAAGAAGGTATAACCACCACCTGCTCTGTGAGCTGCCCTTCCCTTGCACCTCTGGCCTCACTAAGTGAAGCAATATCAATATCAAATCACGCAAGTTCTCTGGGCACTACTGCTGTCCTTTGCTGCAGTTGGTCATTGTTAGTGTTGTACATTAGGGTGTGGATATTCCAGATTGCAAACCGCATTACTTGATTTGGACTGCAGATAGAGTGATCCCACTGGATGCAGCTTTCCAGTCAGGTGAAATGAGACAAACTATGTTAAGGACACCTTTCTAGCCCCCTCCCCATTTGGGGTGAGCAGAGTTGATCCTAAGTAGCCCTCCTTAGTCATGAATGCAGCTGCAGAACTGTACAACTCTCAGTTCCAAATACAAAATGATCATCATGCAATCATCACCTCCATGTAGGTCTATGTGGGGGCTTCTGGTAATCACTAGCACCTGCCCTTATCACTACTTGCCCATCTCTGTAGGACTTGCTGTTGAAGGAAGACACCTGTATGTGTCTTATTTTAACCAGAGGATGCTGTTGCACTTCAGCAACTGCACAAAACTTCACAGGAAAGAAACCTTAATTTAATGGCATGGAAAACCTAGATGACTGGAGTTTTTTGGTCTGCTGCAGCCCTCAATCATCTTTGCAGCCATTGTGAAGTATTCTTTCTTCACCATTGTGGACTTCTATTTTTGTTTTTGGAACCACAATGTGACCCAAGGCATTGGCCATTTCAAGCAAACTCACCTCACTATGGAGGCAGAGAGATGAGAGAGACCAAGGGAAAAAGCTGCTACCCGACATCACCAGGTTCGATTCCTTCCTCCTGAAACTGTTTGCTGTGTTTGCAGTTGAACATGCATATCTCAGACCAGTCATCTCCAGAATCCCCAGTGACTTCCCTATTTACTGGATTATTGCCATTTTTATATTGAGGGACTGCTAATAATGCCAACGACAGCAGGACAAGCTCCTGGTCTTTAGCAAGGAGAAGCTGTGATCTTCCTGAGGCGGCTCCCCCTCTGATTAGGCAAGTCCATCATCAGTGGCCTCCATATTGACTATAAATGGTGTCTGCAGGACATTATCTACCCAAGGAGTCCCCTAAATTGTCCCTTCAAACCCTCACACACAATTACCAGACCCAAAAGAAGAAACAGCAAGAACACCCCACAGCATGGAATAGGGAAAACTGGGGAGTCAATGAGAGCGCTAATTCTGTCACGATAGAGGACAGGGCAATAACTGCTCAGGGAGTCCTAGGAAAAGGATTATGGCCATTGCTACTGCAGGGATTGCTCTGAGGATGGTAACTGACAGCTGATCTCTTTAAAGATAACCCCAGTTTCAGCACTTCATGTTTGAGCCTCTGCACATTAACATGGTCAACAGGTTTATCCACTCTGTTACCTTCCTTCATCAGCAAATGAAGGAGTTCCCCTATGAAGTTGTTTAACTACTGACTGGTCACACAGGATTTCCTTATTCCAGGGCTTGCCATGGGTCAGAGGCCCCTCTTCACATTGTCAGTCTTGGATTTAGCTCAGCAGGTTCTGCTGCACTTGCACCATCCCCAGGCCAGGGTGAGTAGGGAAAGCCCTGCATCAACTATTCTTCTCAGCACATGCAAATAACCATGGAGAGACTCCTCTTCCTGTTGGTGCCCGACTGGTACCCTTCTCGGATATCAAAAGGTCAGCTACCCGCTTCACGGTAGTCAGCTAAAATGGCTGCGCAGCCATCTGCAAGACTCATGAGCTGGCATGCAGAAACGACCTGTGCGATGAGTACATCTCCTCATGTGAAAAAGTGCTTTTCCCATCTTGAGACCACTGGAAAACGAATTGTAACATCCCTGACAGAAATCAAAGGTTTGCAGGGACACCTCAGCATCCACAGCCAGGAGGAATACAAACTCCAGCATACACAGACAGGGCCTAACTCTTCTGTCACCCCTGATCCACAACAGCTATGTGGTGTAAAGCCAGACACCTGATTAACACTCAAATAAAAGCATTGTTGCCAGGGGAGGGTTATGCTGTCTTCATCAAGTGTTATGGGTATTTTCTGTGTCCCTTTTTCTGGCCTGCTCTAGCCTGGTGCCTTTCATGACCAGAACAATGTCTGAGTGGTGCCAGCGGTCTCCCCAGTGAGCTGGGAGAGGGTGGGGGTGGCAGCCATGAGCATAGGGCTGACCCCAGGCTGTTCCTTGTCCTTCTCCCCCCATGCAGGCCCCCTATTTGCCTAGGGTGGCCATCAAGGTACTTCAAGAAGAAACTGTCCCCACTACCATGAATGCTGTGTGCCTCCCGAGGCTGGGGAGACACAGTGAGCTCCTGCAGGTGGTGGCGATGGCAGCAGTGTGTGAGCAGGGAGCTCCTGCAGGCAGCCATGGCGGTGTCAGCAGCAGGGGGGGGGGAGGAGGGTTGCCAAGTGATGAAAAACAGAGGACATAAAGGTTTCATATCAATAGAGGACAGAGGACCAGAAAACTGGACAGCCCTCTATAAAACCAGACAAATGGCCACCCTATATTTGCCACCTCCCATCCTTCTCTGTTTCAGGGACTGCCTACAACTCCCATAACCTTTCCCTGCCAGGGCCTCTCTTTGCCTCTAGACCCCCTCATGTCCCTTCTCCCCATTCTAGGGCCCCACTTTGTCTCCTGCCTTGCCAGGGTCTCCCTGTGGTTCCTCTTTCCCTCCTTCCCTCTCATAGTACAGCCTCCGTCACCCCTCCCCTCAACTTTATATCTCCCTTTCCTCATAGGCCCGTGTTTTTCCTTTCCCATCTCTGCTCTCCCCACCTTCCAATTCTGCTTCTGCACTAACACATCCAATTTTCCCCTCAGCTGGCTCCCTGTCTCCCTCACTACCACCTCTCCCCAAAATCTCCCATTCCCTTGAGGGTCCCTGCTTTCTCCCCTAGACACTTCCTCCTACAAGTCCAGTATTTTCCTCAAACCCATCATTCCCATACACCCCCCTTTTCCAGAACCCTGTTCCTCCCAGTCCCACCATTTGCCCCCATTTCTGTCTACATCTGTTTACCCTCCTTTGGGTATCTGCTTACCGCTGGTTACATCTAAGCCCTCCTCCCCCAATATTGCTCCCAACCCCTCCATTCTCCTAGTTTCTCCCATCCTTTTGCTCTCCTCCTCTCCCAATCCTTTCTTTTTTGTCATAATCCAGTCTACAGACAGTTCCACCAAGAACCAAGGGAAGTGGTCGTCTCTGATGCATATGGTACCTGAACCTGGTGGTACCTAAACCACCTGGTACTCTGGAAGCCTTGATTTTTTTCTGAATTAGGCTTCTCTGGTTGTCTGTTCAGTATCAAAATTGGTAGGTTTCTGGTCATTGATACCTTGAATACTCCTGGAATGTTAGGAACTGATTCGATATGGAATTCAGAAATTACTGCATTAGACAGAAATATGTAACAGGAGAATGCAGACCTCACTTTGCACAGCCAGTCGTGTCCAAGAAGGGCCATCAAGTTAACCTCATCCTTTTTAAAATGAGGTTGACTACCAAACCAAGTGCATTTTAGTAATTTAATCTATACATATTTCCCTTGTGTTTGGAATCTTTCATCTTATTACCATGATAATCTGTGACTCTACTGTGGGTGCATCTACACAAGACACCTAAATGCACAGTGGATCGTTTCACTGCTCATTAGCGTGTCACAGCAAAAACCGTGCTAATATGTTAATGTGCAGTAGAAGAGTACTGCGCATTAAGCATCACAAAAAAATTGCCTTTGCTACTGCACATCAGCACAGCTACTGCAGCTTTATCTAGTACCTCATATTAAAAAGGTACTAAACTTAATGTGCAGTAGCAAAAGTACATTAATGAACATGTAGACACACCCTGCAAGGTTTAAAGACCACTTTCTTAGTTCTTTTAATTTAAAAAGATACATTTAAATATTCATTTTGGACCAATGTATTTGCTTGCTTTTATGACTGACTTTTAGAAACTATCTTGTATGATTGGATGATTTTAATGTTTGTTACCTCAAATCATTGAGAGTGCAGGCCCTAGTTCCATAAGTCTCTATATTATCAGGGTTTTGGTTCCAGAAATATTCAGTGGTAACCAACTGGAAAGACTATGGGAAGGTAAAGCAATCCAGACAAATGATTCTAGTAATCAGAGGACTTTATTTCAAAGCATATTGAAGAGGGGGAAAAAAAAAAAGATGACACCAAAAATGCCACTGACTTCCCTCTGTGATTAGAAGTGTGGCATTTCTGAAACAGCTTTTTCCATGTTGTCAGAGGAAATAAGGAATCGATATCACATTTTCACAGCTTTAATTTGTACTAGTGGGAAAAGAGAAAAGAATAGTTAAAACCTAGAGATTTTTTTTTCAAATACAAACATATTTTCTCCCTAAGATGATAGTTCAGTAAAGAGGCATTTCTTGCCAGAAATGTCATTTTCAGGAGTCTAGTTTTACAAAAACCTCACAGAAATACCTACCCATGGTTACCCAAAAGTTGGAGGATTTGTGGGCCTATTTTCACAGGATCTGGTTTGTCAGGAATGACCAGCAATTAGAGTTCCTGATTTTCAGGTAGTAAAGATAAAACCCAAGTTGTCCCCTAGATTTTCTGAAGCATTGGCAAAGATTAAACAATCTTGATCGACAAAATGTCTAAATTTACTCATCCCCTATCTGTTTTTCCAATTTAATATGCTTTCTCCACAAACATGCAAAACGTTTCTCTCCCTACTCAAGCATAGCTGGGGTCTCTGGCTTTCCGTTACCTCTTCCTGCCTCCTCCCCAGTTTCAAATGGAAGCTTCTTTGCAGGGCGTATTGTAGACTGCAACTTTGGATTCATCTGAAAAAGAAAAGAAAGATAACATTCATATTCCTGTGAGGAATCACTCCATTGCCAGCACATGCACATCCATGATCGTATGCATGCCAGGTTCCTAAGCAGCTATATGGTCTTCCCTGTTGTCAAGGCACCAAAGTCTGAGGCTCTTCAGTGCCCAAGGTTTGCCATGAGTGTACTGGCAATATACAGAAGGGAGGACAATCAGTGAGCAGGGAAATTGTTTCTGACATGCAGTTTGGATAGCAGAATGCATGTTCATAGGGAGCAGAATGAATGTCCCTCTCCACACAGGCTCTGGACATGTCTAATTATCTGCTAAGAGAGAGATCATGGCATTTATTCTGGATCTGGAAAAGAACATGGAACTTTATTGTGTATTTGCATCATGCAAGCCACAGATACTTTGTGATACAGGCTACAACCAAAGCTACTTAAGTCTCCAACTACTAGGGCAATAATAGGGTAGATGGGTAAGACATGCCAGATAAGGCAAGACAAAAGCATTGACCCTGGTGGCTCACTCACTTTTGCTTTAAGGCTGGGTCTGTAATAAGAGGGCAAAAGCCAATGAGTGAACAAGGTTAAGGGGGAGCAACTAGTAGGGAAGGTAAATTATAGCAGTATCAGTTTCCCTCCTGGCTTGTGTTAATTAGGCAGTGAACAAGTTGGGGAAATTCTCAGTGTCTCTCCTTAAGCTCATGTGATTACAATACTCATGTGCTTTCTACCCATGTCTGCTAAGAACTAAAAACTGAGCAAAAGCAGACCTGTAAAGAGGAACCTACATTAGATAGGGAAATGATACATATTTTACATTTAATCAGCCACCTCCCACCCTCTAGCTAAGACTGGGATTAATAGTTTGATTCAAAGGGCATTTATTCAGCCCAACCAAGCCTCTTACCTGTTTGATAATAATCATATATTAGCACAGAAGCTGGCTGGATATTAGATATAGGAAGGCTTTGTTCAATGCTGAAAGAGAAACGGATTCCCTCCTGGGAAACCTGGGAGCAGGACAGAAAAAACATGTCAGACTTTGTTTCTTTTAATATGCACTTCACAGAATGAGGCAGCACAAACACATTTCCAAACCAGAAAAGGATGCACATTACAACTCTTCAACTTTCCAATTCTCCTAGGCTGGTAAGATTGTTGATAAGCCAGTTAAATAGCTAAAGAAATCAGTTGCTAGCTACATCTTATGGTAAAACAACCACGTCCTGTTGCTTTTTCCTCATCTCTAGATTCCATTTTTTTTCCCTGTTGAAGGCCTTGACTAGGTCTTGATTATTGTATCCTCTGCATTTCTCATTCTTCCCCCTGCAGCAGCTCCAAGAAGTCACTGCCAGTTATCTTGGTCTTCCAAGGCTGGTTCTAACCAGGTCAGCACACTCCTTTCATCTCACTATTGGCTTCTTGTTTCTTGCCCCACTAGATTTAAGATCCTTGGCCTCTCCCTTAATTCTTTCCTCGGTTCCCTGAAGAACTGTTTTGGTGTGCTTAGGCTGCATCTGCTTCTTTCTCAGATCTGAGGAAGGGCACTCTGTGCCCAAAAGCCACTTTAACAGCTCTTCTAGCTAATGAAATTGGTCCAGTAGAAGATACTACCAAACAAATCTTGCTTTTCATTGTAAAGCACTTTGAGGCATAAGGCTAAAAAGCACTATGTAAATTGCAATGTATTACCATTTCTCCTGTCTCCTTCCTCCTCTTGCTATATTAACATCAATTACATTTTAACCAATGTTAACCCATTCCCCATGTTCTTTATTACCATATTTTCTTGCATACAACATGTCATCATATAAGATATTCATCCTGCCTTTTAAAAGCAAGGTGTAAGGAAAAAAAGATCCGTTCTTGAAAACACTTGTAAGTTGCAGTAAGTAACCAAGTAGCTGCAGCCCAGCCTGCTCACTGTATAGCTCCCTGTGAAGCAAGTGTAGTATGACCTTTACCACCTCCCCTCTGCAGGAACTGCTCTATCTGAAGGCTTATGCTGCAGGAACTGTTATAACTGTATTTCCTTGCTTATACTGTGCATCCCAATTTCCAGCAGCTGATTGTAGAAAGAAAATAAAGTTTGTTGCAGGTGATACTGGGAGGAGGAGGGGACGGTGCTCCTCTAATAGATCTGGGATAGGATCATATCTATCCTCAGCGTATCAAATCCCTGTATATAAAACAGTGAATGACACTGAACCTGTAAAGCACTTGGAGATCTCTTGATGTGCTATTTAAGCACATTTACTTAAATCCAAGACAGGGGTGTTCTCCCATTCAACACTTGGGGGGCTCTCATCTTAGATTTGAGTGCAAGTAGGGGGATGTAATGGCTGCAGCTGTGGCTGTGCCTGCAGCTGCGTTGCTAAGCCTGGGGTCAGAGTCTCAGCTACTGCCCACCTCTGCCACCTGCTTCCTGCAGCCCCCACTCCTCAAGCTTTTGTTCTCCTTTGCTTCTGCTGTCCTCCCCCATTTGCTACTATCACTTGCCCTCCTGTTGCAGCTCTAGCCTCAGGCAGACAGCACAGAGCACAAGCTGCTTCTGCCCCTCCACAACCTACTCAGTGGTGGTGGAAGCTCTGGTCTGAGTGCCAGAGGTGGGGCTGGAGCTGCGGCCACCACAACAGCTGCTGTGTGGCCAGGTGGGGGTCAGAGGCAGCTTGTGCTCTGTGCTCCCTGCCCCACGCTGGAGCTGGGTCCCAGCTGGAGCTGTGACAGGAAGGTAAGTGGAGGCAGCGGCAGAGCAGGGTGGGAAGGAAGTGGCATGGTCGCAAAGAGCAGTGGGGAGGCAGCACAGGGGCAGATGAGAGGGTGGGGGAAGCAGGTGGGGGTCAAGTGTTGGGGAGGCATGGTGCCTGGCAGTGCAGGCAACATGGAGAGGGGCAAGTGTCAGGAGGTGTGGGGTGGTAGCAAGTGCAGGGGAGGCAGGTGGCAAGGAGCACAGGCACTGCAGGAAGGGCAGGCATGAGGTGCAGTCACCAGGCTGGCAAGGATGCAGACAGCTGGAGTACAAATGGTGCAGAGGATAGGCAGCAAGGTGCAGGGGTCATGCCACTCGACTCCTCTGCTACCTGTTCCTCCCACCACCTTCCCCTGCTTGCCTTGCTGCAGTGGAGGGGATGAATTTAAGATGACCCCCCAATAATTAGATTCTATACATGGAATATCATAACAAGTTTAGAATTTTTCTATGTCTAGACTCTAATTATTGGGGGGGGGGGGGTCTTAAATTCAATGTCATCTTGGATTCTGGTAAATACAGTAGATCTCATTCTAATTAGCAGCAGCAGCAGCAGCAGCAGCAGCAGACATATTTAGATTATAATCTCTGGGGCAGGGAGTGAGGTTTATCTATATTTGCAAAATGCTGTATAAGTGTGTAGCTCTCTGGTAAAGATTAATAATGAATTCACAACTCTGTCTTTCCAGGACACTTCATGGTAACTGTATTCCTATTCACCTGCATTACAGTTTACTTATTTCAGTTTTCCCAGACAGCAATAGAACAGGGATAACCTAGTGGTCTGCCTAGATTCCTGGGCTTTGACCATGTCACTGAAACAGCCTGCGTTAAAAATTACAGGGTGGCAACAACACCTTTAAGCCTTTCAGTAAGGAATGATGAAAACTGGCGTGTTGCTGATCAGCTCACAGTGAGTTCATTCTTTTATTTGGGAGTCTGCTTTATTACCAAATTTAACAAACACTGGAGATGTAAGGCACATCTTTCTCCAAGCTTACCTTCTCCAAGTAGAAGATGACATGGTCATTCTTGGTCTCCACATGCATCACCACACGACTGTTCTGAAGCTTTAAACAAGGAAAATTATACCGATTTTAAACAGAAGAGAAATTCCCAAACCTATACTAAATAGCCACTTGTGGTAGGCACATTCTTATACGGCTACAGTGACATCTAGTGGCCAAGACAAGTAATATAAAAGGTTGAGAAATGTGATGGTCTAGATCCAATGAAACACAGAACAGTGCAAAATTCACAATTTTCTGCATTTTATTCTGAACTTAAAATAAGGTCCACACTGGCAGAAAATACGAAATAAATTACCAGTTTTTCCTCAGTCCAGCCTAACCTAGTCTCCTGTGGAATGTATCTTTTCTTTTCAAAAACAGGTAACTGTTTGGGGGCAAATAGCTGTACAATCAAAACATGTACAAATAAATGTTTTCAGTGCAAAAGGATGTCCCTTTTCTAACTGACATGATAAGAAAAATGGGTAGGATGCAGAATAGTTTTAAAAGTTTCTGTGCAACAGTCTGATTAAAAAAAGGTAGAGATTTCACAGGGCTCCAGACCAGTGATCCTCAGGCAGAGAGGTATGGCATCCTGGGGTGCTGTAGCATCCCTTTAAGGGTGCCACTGTGTGCCGTGCAATGTTGGCATTGTTAAGTGGTGCAAATATCACATGTTTCACTGAAACTGTATTGCATACATAAGGGCATTGTCCAAATGACACAATATCCAGGCAGAGATGCAGGAAAATAGACGTCAGGCATGGTGCCCAAGATTGGAGTCATAATTGTCCATGCCTTACTTCATCCAATGAATAGCTACCAACAGAGTGGATGGTCATATGTCCAGCTGCTTAAAACTGAATTCACCACCTGGTTCAGCTCCTCAGTTTGCTAACAGGGCCCCTTTTTTTCTCCAGCCCAACCTATAGTATCCCATAACCCAGCATTTCTCAACCTGTGGGTTGTGACCCAAAAGTGGCTCACAAGAATATATGAAAGGGTCAAAAACAAACTTTAAAAATGGATTCTTCTTTAAAGGAGAAAAACGTGGGAAACTGTGGCTTTTCCCTTGCAGGCTGGCAGGAGTTCCTGCCTAGGAAGGGCTGCTTTGGGATCTCCATGTCCCACATACACCCCTCCTGCCTCACACACTGGGGAGCTGGGGCCTGGAGGCAGTCAGTTGGGAGTGAGGGGCACTGGGTCCGGATGGTTATTGAAGTTTACAAATGGGTCCTGGTACAAAAAAGGTTGAGCGCCACTGCCATAACCAATTTTGCTCCTGTTCACCCCATGCTCCCATCATTTACCTCCTGCAGGGATGATTTGATAGGTACAAAGCCTGAGAGCATCTTCACATCAATAATGGCCATGTTGGACTCACTGCGCTGCCCAGCGTAACTGAAATGAGAGATACCCCATTAGTTTGGCTCATGAAGTAGAAACACAATGACCCTTTCAACATGTGAAGTCTCCCCATTCAGCTATATTGGAGGATGGTCGGATTAGCAATAGTCCCACTTGACTTACTGCCACTACAAACCAGTAACACACTAACTCATTTTTCCTAACTCCCTTTCCTGACACTTTACCCCAGCAGCTGGGATGATGTGGGAGGTTACCTGGCGGAGATGACAAGATCAAACTTTGGTGGGAAGTTGCTTGTGCAGGAAGCATTAGTTGGCTGTGCAGAGAGAGAAAACCTAGAGTCTTCCCCAGACATGTGGATGTTGTACCTCAGTGTTGTCTAGAAGAAATAAAATGTGTCAGGCAGCAAAAGAAGGGAGCTCTGCTGAGCTTATCAGCTGAAGGTCCTGAGGATCAGGGTGCTGGGCACTAGTTTACCTGCATGTAGACACAGCCTTTGCCATTCACTTCCACCTTGTACTCCCCTGGGACACTGGGCAGGGAAGTCTGCTGCAGCAGGAAGCGGTTTTTATTGTTCACCTGGAAGACTTTATTTGAAAGATTCTTGGACTTGATCTCAACTGTGTTTTGACCATCCTTGGAGAAGGTGAGATACGCGTACTTGGCTAGAGCTCGGATAGCAACAACGGTGTCCTGAAAAGTACAACATGATCAGAAACAGACTCAGCTGGGATATGATGCATGAGATTAACATAAGTCATATACACTCCAAAGACACTATTATCTCCCCCAGTTAAGACAGAAAGAAAAGTGGGGCTTTGCGGCTTGAATTATCCCAAGACACCTACATATCATTGTCTGCCACTATTGTGTGAATATGGGCCAAATATTATTTAATCGGATTTAAAGAATGCAAAAAACATTTCTATGCATAAGAGTCTGATATGTCTTGGCAATTAAAGACAAGCACAAGAGCACAATATACCCAGCAGCATTAAAAGCAAATATTAAAAGAGGAAATAGTAACTCAGTTCAGGCAATTGATGACTCAGTCTATTAAAGAGCTACCCAACCCTGTCATCTCTCAACACATACCCTTTAACCTCTCCAGTACCCTGTCAAGTAAATTATTTTAGGTCACCAGATTTAGGCTATTTTTGACACAAGGAGGAAGTGAGTTCCGAGGTCTTACTCTTCTCATCAGAAATACCAAGCAGAAATACCCATAATATATAGGAGAGCTAGAAGACTGTTTTCTGGGTCTGCTTCTTCTAACATGAGGGAAAAGTCACCTGGGAGGAGGAGAAGCCCCCATATGGATTCTGTTGTTTGACGACCCACTGCACAATCTGAGACATGTATGACAAGTCCTTTGGAGTCGTAGTGGATTGGTTGAGCAGTGCCAGCAGCACATAGTTGGTCAGTTCAATCTCTGCAGAGGAGGCCTGCAAGTAGAAGGGGGAGTTGCCTGGTGGTGGCTTCTTTGTCAGCTCCCAATAAATCCAGCCAGCTGAGAACAGAATAGGGATGGTGAGGAGCCTAAAGAATGAACTAGTGATTACCTTACTATTTTGTCATGTGGACTAGTACAGTCTGCTGGTTACCACTCATCTTTTGCCCAGGACTAGCCAGTTTGGGAACTTCTGGGCTTATTTCTGAATGACAAGGGATCAGGGTTTTCCTTCAGCAAGACAGGGTGCGTCTACACGAGACATTTACTGAGGAATTGCCTGTTTAGCTCCACAGTAAATGTCTTGGCATCTATACGTACAGCCCTATTAGGCCTCAGTAAACTAATAAACTCCACAGCAGGATAGTACTTATAAATACAAGTACTATCCTGCTGCAGAGTTTTTTACTCTGCAGCAATGCATGTGTAGATGTTGATGTGGCTGGGTGAGGCACAAGGGTGCTACAGTGCAGGGACCCTTGTGCCCCAGCCAGACTCTCTGCAGCACATTAAGCTGAGGCACAGCAGCCTCTGGCTGACAGGCTGACCCCGTGTATTCCATGCCAGCGGGGCTGCTCTAACTTAGTTCAATGTGCTCTGGTCCCGGGTGCACACGTAAACACAGTGCCCAGGAGCAATAAACCCTGGTGCGATAAGCATTAATATGTGCTCCCAAAGCAATAGATGGGGGAAATGCAAACAGAAGTCAATCAAAAGAAAGGAAATTGGGCTGTGAGAACACTAGGCTTTGGTTTTCCCTTTGGCTTAGGGCACAAAGTAGAGAGAAGTTCAAAGAATCGATGATTGGTTTCAGAGAAAGCCTAGCCAAGGTTAATATGGAATGGGAAGAGTATTTTTTTTGATGCCACAGACTATTCACCCAAACTCCTTTAAATGCCTGCCATGGAAGAATTTCAAATGACCCTTACCAATTTTGGTAGCTGATTTGTCCAACTTGTCCAAGAAGAATCTGTGTTTTGCTTTATTGCCTGCTAAGCCATAAGTGTAGGCTAGGAGGGCCTGGTCATACAAATTGGTGACTCCATTGCTAGCAACAGCCTCCAGACACTTCAGGCCATTCTGAACCACAGTGTGCTGGAAATGAAAACACAGTTTAGGGTCTGTGGTGTACAATCCAGCATGTTTGCTTTCCCTATAACAGTGGGGGGCGGGGAGGAAGAGACAACCTTGTTGGAGCGTGCCACAGATTAACCCCATACCCTCCTCAAGTGCCATTCCATTCCCTTTTCCCTGTCTGATCTGCTGCTATGCTTTTTGCTCTCAGCCCTGTGCTCCCTGCCTGATTTGTTGCTTTGTTTTCTGCTTTCTGCCTTATCTGCTACTGTGCTGCCAGTCTCATCCCTGATCTGCCATGTGCCACACAAAGAGGCTGCCTGTACCACTTGAGGCACTCATGCCACAGATTGGCCACACCTACCTTGAAAGATTTCAGCTATTCTTTGAACTGGCACTACTGGAATCTCATGATGACAGTATGGCTAGTTCATTTCTGAAGGTGTTGAATGAAAAGTGGTGTATAAAAGAGGCATTGTTATTATTGTCGTTGCTATCTGATGTAAGCTAAGAGAAATAATCACTCTTCAGCCTGGAAGAAGAGTGATTATTCAGCTCTGGGTGAGTGTGCATCTATTCTGGCTTATAAGTCACCAAGAAAATTAACCATGTTGTCTCCTCACCATGTGAGTTACATCTGGGCCACCCAACTTGGAATTCTGATGTGCAAATAATGGTATTGCACCCGTGTAATTGAAGCAGAATTTGATCCTATGGAATGTTTTTTTAATATCTGTCTTGGATACTTTTTTGGTACTCAGACCCATCCTACCTGAGCACCTGGCCCTCTATAACAGTGCTGTCCAACTTGCAGCTCACAGGCCTTACATGGCTTATGAAAAATTAAGCTGTGACCTCCAAACACTTGCCTAGCTGCTACTCCTGCCACCACCCCAGCTGCTGTTCCCCCTGGGATCTCAGCTCCCCTCCCCCCCCCCCATCTTCCTCCTCTAGCTTCAGTTTCCTTCCACTGCTCTGGGGACAGGGTGAGGTGGTGTAGCCCTTTGTGACCCACGGGTCCCAGGCAGCCTACAGCTCAGGGCAGCTCAGGGTCCCGGCATGGTAGTGTGGGTTCCCATGCAGTTTGACATGGCAGGGTGCAGAGGGGGAGTGGAGGGAGCCTGCACACAGCACAGCTAACTGGAAAGAAGAGGCACTGAAGGCACAGAAGGGGGCCAGCATGGTATGTGGCATCAGGAACCTGCAGCTCACATAGGTGCAGGACATGGCCCCTGACCATTCGAAAACTAGCAATAGCAGAGGGGAACTGCATTCAGGCCCCTCCCATTCCAGGTACCACCCTGCAAACTTCTTTTCTGTTGCTAACAAGGATGTGGGAAAATGAAAACACAATTCAGCTCCAAGGTCCCAGAGTGAATTTTCCAGGCTAAAGGCTAGAAAATCTGCTGCATGCTGAACAAATTCAATCTGGATTGAATTTGATCAGAAACATTCTTTTCTAAAGCAACGGATTTCTTATTGGTAGTAAGGAGTTCTAGTGATAAATCGGGCTATACCTACAGTTAAATTGAAGACAGGACACATGATTAATCCCCATCATATGTCAGGTGCTTATTGCACTTCTGAGCCCATCTACATACAACAACTCTGGTACAGAACTTTTGGTTTCTTCTTATAGAAACACAGTGATTCAAAGCCAGCATCTAAGGCATAGCTGAAGCAAAGGGACACTGCATAGCCGATTACTTTTCTGCTGCTTGTGACACTTGACTGGCCAGTCTAAGAAGTCAGGAAAATGTTTACTTCATACCGAGGTGGAGTGTCCAGCTTCAAGAAAAGCTGCAATGACATAGGCTGTGAGTGAAAGTCCACTGTCTCCACCCTGAACAGGAAAGAAAGGAGAAATAGGTCAATAGGCTTGTTCCAGATAAGCTTTCAGGTATCATGTACCTGCGTCTTGGCACCTGGAAGTTTTTCTGTAGGCCAGTACTCAAAAAGGTAAGTATTCCCACTCAAGGGAACTTATATGCTGTGTGTGCATACATAAACTGAAGTGAATATGTCAAATTTGACTTTATTTACTGTAATGAGCGCAAATGACTTGTGAGTTTACTGGGAGTTTATACTTGTAAAACAGAGGCAAACATGGCCTGTGGTTCCTAGTTAAATGCATATATATATATCACATATATGCATATTTATATATTATATTATAAAACTTCCATATTTCTCTCATCCCTGATCTGCCATGTGCCACACAAAGAGGCTGCCTGTACCACTTGAGACACTCATGCCACAGATTGGCCACACCTACCCTAAAAGATTCCAGCTATTCTTTGAACTGGCACTACTGGAATCTCATGATGACAGTATGGCTGGTTCATTTCGGAAGGTACTGAATGAAAAGTGCTGTATAAAAGAGGCATTGTTTGATAGATAGATAGATAGATCGATCGATCGATCTGGGGAATAAAACTCAGAACTTTCATCTAAAAAATTCATGCTGCTTCTATGACACTACCTGCTGGGAGTTTTAAGGGTCATACCTTGCCTGTGGGAGGGCCCTTAGAAAAAAATGCTAGAGAGGGCAGGTTTGAACATCTCGGCAGCAGGGCAGTGTCAGACTGTTTCACAGTTCTATCCTAATGATGGGTGGGACTGGAATTTAGGAATAAGATGAAATCAATCACCTTCAAAGCATTGTTGAAATGGTTCCCATCCTTTTGGAAGCAACCATCTGGATTCTGTTTCTTTGACAGCCAGATCAGGGTCTGCTGCTGCACTTGGCTGTCAATGTAGATGCAGCACGTGGCTTCAGCGAAGGACTTGTACACAAAGGCTGTCAGCCTGCAGAGGAACCACGTAGACTGGAGTGAGGAGGAGTTGCAGAAGAGACTGTCTTGTGGTCACCTGGCAGCTTTCTTTCCCCCTTCCACTTTGTGGCAGTGAGGAGGATAGGGTGTGGAGGAGGCATGTCACAACTCTGATCTGATCTCATATAAATCTCTGCACCATGGTACCTTGAGATGCTCCATGGATGAGCAGTGCTAGCTGAAGAAGCCTGCTACCCAAACACACCGGTAGGATCAGGGCAACTCTAATTATAGCCACAATGTATCAAGTGCCTTCATACAGTTTGCCTGTCCCCTTGAGCCATCTGTCCACATAAGCTGGGACTGAACTGGAATAAGTGCACTAGGAATGAAAAGCTTCATCTCCCACTCGCCAATCCTGATGGAATATCCATTCCTCCTCCCCTAACCTCTGTCCAGTGTTCAGATTGTAACCAGTACCCCAGTGGTAAAAAGCTTCAGCCCCACTGATCTGGCCAGTCTTCTAGCTTACACCTTTCTCCCTGACTACAGAATCAGATTCTGGAGGTACTCCCATATCAGAAACAACTTCTCTAAGCACAAGGGGCCCCAAAGAGATTCCCAGCTCTCACCATACGTTCCCTTGTTCATCTCTGTCCCCAAAGGTGCTGTATGATCCATCTGCACGTTTGTAGGACAGCTGCTTCTGATATCCTGAAAACACATCAAAGAAGACACATTTTCCAACAATAATGGGCCTGTTTCTCTGTTTCCAATTGAAGCTGTACCCTTTTGCATTTGAGAACAAAAGCAATGTTGGCGACTGGTTTCATTCTAATTGTTTGCGTGTTCCTCTAGCTCATTAGTAACTATTGCATAGTACCGGTATTATGATGGCATTTCAGTGCAAGAAAGCAAGCTGAGGTGGAGGAATCAAAAATCTTCTTACCGCTAGCTAAGTATCCAATGCCCTTGTCTCTGATCTCTTTAGTCAGCTGCCCTGTCTTGTTCAGATAGTCCAGGATGTAGATATTGGGTGTGAAACGAGCCATATTCTGCTCTGCGCAGCCATAGGGCATGTGGAGGAGATTCTCCATGTTCCGTAAGGTAGAGCCCAAGATATCCCCTGAGGAACAGGAGACAGAGTCAGTGCAGTTCAGAGATGCAATTTAGAATACATCACTTTTTGGTACCAGTGAAACAGCAACACCAAGGGCAGGACAGGGAAGAACTGGGTCCTTTATTTTTTATATAAATATTAAACTTACCAGTGACAGAAAAATATACTCTGGCTGATCCGTCCACTACGTTTAGTGGCAGCTTCAGGGATATTGCACCAGAGTTTGCTTGGCCTGCTGATAAAACATAATGCTAATAGAGAAAAAACAATCCCTCTCCCTGTCACAATATCTTTTCCCAACAGACAATACACTCTAAGCATCATATCATCCAAGTGAACTGGGCCACTATTCCTTTCTTCAGTCTACATGAAGAAACTTATCGTGAAGAGAGGTGAAGTCACTTGCCCAGGGAGCCAGTGGCAGAACTGAGAAATCTATTTTCTTGCCTGTGTGAAGAATAATTTTGACCCTCCCATGTGGAGAATAGTATCTATGACACCCAGCTGAGCTGTTTCCATTCTGTGTGCCTACGTCCAGTAGCCATTACCTAAACACTGAAGAACTGCACTGGCAGCTGAGAGCAATGGCACTGAAACTAAGCGAGCTATTTCTATTGCCCAAGAAAGAGAGGTATGTGAAAAGCAAACTCACAGCCTTATGGCAGAAGTAGGTAATGTTGCCGAAACCTTTTATTGCAAAGAATGAAGGTATTAGTATGGAGGCAGGGAGGGAGGGAGGCTGACTTGGAAATGTTGGAATCTAAAAGCCACTCTCCAGTCAGTCACCGATGCATTTATAACCTTGGCTGCATAGCAGGGGGGAATTTGAAAAGATGCCCTTACCTTTTGTACACATGAGGTCACTCTGGGTCACCTCCTTTTTGATGCCTTCAGGCTGATTAGTGTGGAAAAATGGAGAGGCAAGAAGAGGAGAGAGACAGAACACAACAATGAACCCAGGGACAAAAATGATATCATAAAACATGTTTGTGCCAAGTGGGGCACCATTGGGTTATGCAGCTGTTACACATCCAGCCTTCCACTTCTGAGTTCACAAAGTGACTTCCCTGCCATTTCATGAGATCACTCCCTGTCTTACAGACTGCACCTTTTGCTCTGTATAGATTAGTGGTGCTCATAAACCTATCTGGCCCCTTAGGCTGGATGAGTGATGTGGGACCATTCCATGGGCTGGATCCTTATTGTGGGATTGGTCCACAGGGTGTGATGTCTTGCACCAGCCCAGCCCACACACTTAATGTGGCCATGGAGCAACTCTGTGCATCAGCCCAACCCCAGCCAAATGATATGGCTCTGTGGGCCAGATTCAGCCCCTGGGTCCTTACACCACTGGTATAGACCATTCCTACTCTGCATGAAGGGGACAGAAGGTGCTCCCATCTGGAGACACCTATGCCCAGTTCCACTTGGTGGGGAGGAAGGTGGTAGTTTCCAGAAGAAATGGAAATGACTTCTCTCTATCTTGTCCTGTGGCATAGCTGCCTACACAACAAAGGCCAAATCATGCTTTCATCCCTGCAGCATCATGGTGGAAACAGGACAAAGGCACAAAAAAACCTGTCAGGGCTCTCCCCAAAACTAGGGTTCATCTCTTTCCCTCTGCACCCAGAAGGTAAAAGTAAATGCTGACCCCACAAGGGAAGGGTTCATGAGATGCCTGCCAGATGTCACAGATGACTGTCAGTTCAGCCTCTGCTACATATGGAAACCCCATTTGAGGCCACTGCACAGACAGCTGACTGTCTGTGGCCACAGCTCCATAGAGCAGAAGAGAGAACTAATGACAGATAGATCATCATTCACAGTTAAAGGAGCTGCCTCTTCAGTTTAAGTGGGATGGCTTGTGTTGTGGGTGCTAAAGGCCCATTGAACCGATGAAATACAGTGGCTTCATTATAGTTGCATGGGGATAAGGCTTAACTAAAAGCAGTGTCTGATCAAAGTTAGTCTCAGCATATAAGGGACAGTAGAATTCAAATATGGGGTGGGAGGGTACAGTGTGTAGAAACCTGTTTGGAGAAAGTGGACTGATCTCTGTGCTTAGCAAGCACTTTCACTAACTCTTCCACAGATGACACATCTCATTGTTCTCTCAGGAAAATTGGTTGGTAGGATTCTTGGGGTCACTTAGAAATAGATCATCCATGCCCCGCCAACTAACTTTTCTTGTACCCTAGACCAGGACAAGGGGTGAAAACTCTATAGCTTGTTTCAGACTCAGAGTTAGTGTTAGGATGTTTTAGAGAGAATGAGCCAAATAAAACCAAGAGAGAAGAAAGTGCCAGGGGGAGTTGGAATGTCCTACCATACCTCGACTAGCAGCTTTTGGATGATTGTGTCTTTCCATACTATCTTGTTTGCCGAAGGACCATTCCCAGCGGTTCCGTCACTTGATCGCGTCTCAGCAGTAATTGTGAAGTTCACTTCACCTGAAAGAACCAGCCCACAAGCTCGTGAAATAAAATATATCCCAAATATCCACAACAGCCACCGGTTTCACTTCATGCTTCTAGAGTGACCTGAGAGTCCTCTGGGAAATTTGCTTCCTTTCAAAGCAGGTTAACCTGAATGAATCCTGTAAGATCTGTCTCTCTTTTATTTTTTTTAAATATATGTCTCATCTCAGACAGAATATTCTAGTTTGAAAATAACTAGAAGTATGTCTTGCTTTTGTTGAAATTGTTCAGTTAATCATTTGCAGGTATCTGCACAGTGGAACCCCCAAATAGTAATTTTCTCCTGCATAAAAAGTATCCTCAAAAGAATTAAGTTACTGTGCAGAACGAGCAGTTTTTCCATAATTAACTTGCAGCTAAAGCCATCTTCTGTTATTCCATGTAGTTTTCACCCTCCAATAATTCTCCAAATAGTTTCAAATGTTCATGGAGTACTCTCAAGAATTTATAGAATGGAAGATTTTATTATTTTTAAGGGAATGTTTAACATAAATTGATTAAACTGCTGAATTTCTTTTCTTCAAAAAATCATAATTTTAGGAAAGTTGGATGAAAACAGTTTATTTTGAGCAGGCCCTTTGAAAATTAAGGAAAAAATAAATGTACTTTTGTTGTTACTTCCAATTTTCTGTACTGACAAATCACCAAATGATCTCTGCTGCTGCTTAAAAAAGAAAGGGCAGAATTGTACTTTATAGACTAATGAAGAGATAGATAAGCTTTTGTGAGTAGCAGCTTACTTGTCAGATGCTATGGCTTTTCAGAGCATCTGATCAAGTGAGATGCTACTTACGAAAGCTTATGCATCTCTGCATAAAGAGCAACTCTGCTCTGCCTTCTACCTGACTTCAGACCAACATGGCTAACTACTTCTCTCTGCCTTTTTAAAATATTGAAAATTTAGGTCCGAATCCCCAGCTGTTTTAAACAAATACAAATGCATTGAAGTCAATGAAGCTACCTCAGTTTATACCAGTTGAGAACTGGGCTCAGGACAAACAGCATACTTCAGTATTTTTCATCGTGATTTTTAATACATAGGGTTATCACTACTGGTGATTAAAGCATGAAATGGGAAGGGTTTTAGGAGGATGACCAGAATATTGTAGAGTGAGAAAAGCTCCAGGGCTGGGCAGATTTGGCATCTGGGCACAGAAAGATCTCATGGGGAAAAAAAGTCTGAAAACGTTTTACATCAAATGAGTGAGCGGAATGATTCATTTCAAGACAGACAGAAATGAACTCTCAGAAGCAGCAAATAGACAGAAAACTAGGGTTTACTTAGCCACAAAAACAACAGAGTTCCCCAAGGCTGACTCTGTAAAGTCTGTCAACACTTAGTTGCGTGACAGAATTGCAGAGTAATAACCATTAAAAAGAAAGTAGCAATATACCATGAAAAAGGGCCAGCCAGAGAAGCTTACCTAATTTGTGTGGGCTCACAGCCCAGATGTAGGTTTTCCTCTCATTTGCACACACCTCCACAACATTGTTCTTTGGGGTGAGGACCTCTGCCTTGTAATCATCTGACTTGGCTAATACAGCACTGATCTGAGAGAAAGACAAAATAAAATCATGAGGAAGCTGTTCCTAAGAGGTTGCTGATAAGCCGATAAGAAGCTATTGTTTTATTCTCTCTGATTCTGGGGGATGTATGCTGATGACACCATAAGGCCAGCAGCAGATCCAGGAGTAGGGTGAGGCCACATTCCCCTTTGATTCTGCAGCACATATACAGCAAGCTCTGAGCTCACTGCTTTTTCAGCACACCCTGCCTGAGCACTGCATGCACAGTGAACTCTGTGAGTTCACCAGCTGATTGGTGCAAGCTCCAGCTGGAATCACTCTGGAATCAGAGTGAAGAAAACAAGGAAGGAAGGACATTACATACCAGGCTACAGGTGTCCATGTAGTTGAAGACATTGGCTATTAAATTAAACCTTTCTCCTCGGACAATGGAGTAGGGCAGGGTGGGATCAACAAAGAAGGGCTGGAAAGCTCTCAGAGAAACAGTTGGGGATATGCCAAACCCAACATAATCCTGCAAGCAGAAGGCACTGGCTTTCCATTCTGTGATGGTGTCAGGGATGACGAGAGAAATGTCAGCCTTTCCAGCAGAGCTGAGGGATGAGAGAGGGAGAGATGAGAGGGATGAGAATAGACTGTGACTATTCAGAAAACGTTATCCAGCATGTCTACAGAAGAGACTCCCAAACTGGCACCATAGTCTCCTTTCCAACTATGTACATACATTCAAATAATCTGGGAGAATTCTCCCAGGTTTGCTCTTTGAGTAGAGACATTTACCCATAGGCGTGTGTACAAGGATTCGAGTGCTGAGGCCCCAAATAGGGGAGACCTTGCAGTGCTGACACTGTGGCTGGAGGTGGGGGAAAGGGGTGGGCTGGAGCAGTGGTTCTCAACCTTTTTTGAATTAGGACCCATTTCTAAACATCAGTGGCCAGTCCCAACCCAGTGCCCCTCACTCTCGACCCACTGCCCCCATCCCCAGGTCCCACCACCCCAGTGTGTGAGGGAGGAGGTAGATGGGTGGGGTGGGGTGGGGGGG